CCCGCATCAAATTTGTACAGTGATTTCGAAGGAGCCTGTACACTTTCCAAGTGCTGGGGCATGGACAGCGTTTGAACTCCCTCCAGTGAAAATCCCTTTGCATTGTACATTTCCTAGTTCGAATGCGAATTACTGATTTTCGGACAGTCGGTTGGCATCGACGCTTGACGGTTCTAACAGCAGCCACCAATGTTGTAATGCTGTTAGTAAATTTTCTCCAGGACTCCAGGGGATTGCAGCCTATATCAGGGGAGATCCACTGGATTCGATGAACCAGGTTGTTTAGTCCTGCATAATCACTTGTGCTGCGAAAGCGATCTGAAGAAGCTGTTATCACTGAAGCATAACAAACGTATTCGAACAATAACACAGCGTGATCACTGCGCCCCAACGGAGTTGCGATTGCAATTGATTCGACCATCAATTCTTCGTTTGTCAATACTAGATCCAAAGTTGACGAAATTTGATTGGTTCCAAGCCTGGTGGGTTCCTTCACATAATTGTACTAAGGATGTGACTGGATGAACTGGTCCAACTGTCGTTCAAATGGCGCACACGATGTAGTCACGTTGTTCAGCTTCGGACAGTTGAAGTCACCCATAACAAGAACATGGATGAAATTCAATGACAAGAAGTAAAACATTGTTTGCAACAAAGTCTCATTTGATGAATCTGCTGACGAAGAAGGGCGATAAAACTACACCGATCAACCCGATATCATGTGTCAGCTTCAATTTACATCATAACGTATCTGAAGCAGCGAATGGGCACTCAATTTGCTCGCACTTCAAGCTGTTATGATAGTAGATCAACACCCCCTACCTCGCGTTGGACGATCACTCCTCAATAGCTCCATGCCTGGTAATCGCAGCTCGGAGTCCAAAATGTCAGTCGTCAACCAGGTTTCGGTTACGGCAGTGAAATCCCATCGACCGGTCCGACAACGTAGTTTCACTTCTGGAAACTTACTGATAAAACCCTGAGCGTTGGTATAGAAACAGTTCAGTCGTCGTCGGTGCAGAAATCCCTTGAAGGTTAAGGACGTAATGGGGCCGACCTCATCGTCGGCTGGCAGACCTCTTTGCCGTAGGTATTTGTTGGGTTTGGTCTGGTGGGGAGCATGAAGTTTGCAGTGTTTCACGCGCAATGTGACTAACATTTTTGACTGATGGACAATTTTTTGGCTCTGAATTCAGTATCGGTCTTACACGTAGTTCTTTGGGCCCTCTGATTCTATGTTCATACCATGACTGGAGAACTGTGTTTACCATTTCTGCTGTCCCAAGGGTTACCTTCAGTATTTGCGGGCAGCTTGGAACATTCCCCGCAGAACCAGAAATGGTCTGTCTGTGAGACTAATAGTTCTACCCGTTTTGCCGATAGTCTAGCACACGAGGGATGAAAGAATCGTATGCAGTTTGCGCATGAGA